TGTGTGTGTTTGTGTGTGTGTGTGTGAACAGCAGTACATCATCAAAAATATGTGATCATCACCATCGTCTTTTGGTGACAAACCACTTTAAATATTCCATAAAAATCATACAAACTGAAAAAAATACATCATGAGAAGACACAATTCTCCATCCAAGAAACTTTTAGTAATACGGTGGAATAAAGATATAATGAAATCCTTGGAAAAGAAAAATTAAACTATTGTTTAATACATAGAAAATCCTCTCTAATGATAATGAAAAACGAAAAAAATACCCTAGTTAAAAATTACTAAAGGTTTACAAAGGTCTGCCCTCCAAATCGAAGACGACCCCCGCAAGACGTCACGATCTCGGGTGTATTTTAGCAGTAAAACCCCTTCCTTTCATCTTTTCCGCCGTGTGAACATCCAGACCAAAAGCACCCCTCTTCCTCACAGGCACAAGCTTTTCGTCACTTTCAAAAGCAAATTAAAGACATGTTATACCAGCTCCTGGGGACGGCGAGCAAGGGGGGAAGGGCAGCTCGCAGGTTATTCCAAGGAAGACCTGCTCTCAGGATGGAAGGCTCGCGACCCAGCTCAGATATGGCCAAATTTCGTGAATATTTCGCCAAGGCCAAGCATGTCGTTGTGTTGACAGGTGAGAATAAGGTCGGGGGTGAGGCTGTCTATGGTGAGTGAGGTTGAAATCGTAGGTGATATTGAGTGGTAATGCTAAATTATCAGGGTTGTTTTGCGGGTCTGGAAGATTCATGATTCATACTAGGAAATTTTTGGCCAGAGAACATTTAACCATTTTTTTTGGTTTGTTTGTTCGTTTATTTATATTGTCCTACATGTAAGCTATCAGTTCATGTCAAATTTCAAAGCTGTCAGTTGAAAATTAACCCTTACCACTTTTAGTTATACCCCAAACTATATTTTTTTTAAGAGGAAAGTACATACCAGAAAAAAAAAAATTGTTTATGGTTTTGCCAGTTTTACATACATCACATGTATACATATATACACATTGGCTCCCGCGTTTGTTTACTATCGTATGCAAATGATAATTGTTCTCAAGTTAAATTCTTTGCTGTATAGAGTCTCCAACTCCACGTAACTTGTTCAAGAGTCTAAATTACCGTGATGGGGGCTCTTCCCCTCAACACCCCCTGGGAAACGGTATGCATGATTGAGCTGAAACTGGAGCACCCAAACGGGCTTGGGCTGTGGTTGGTGCTTTCCGCGATATTTTTCCTTTATTTGTGGCGTTACTGTTCATGTCTGCGGATTATTTCTTGTACCAAATAACTACGATTTTTAGTCCTTTACAAGAATATCATCTTTAGTTTATGCTACCTTAGGTCATCCATACTATAAAGATTAAGCAAACTTTTTTTTTTTAAGCATTTCTACCATTTTTCTTCATAGTAGGGATATGGATCAAGCCCTCTATTCTTTATTATCATACATTATCAAATGATCAGCCAGCTTACTATGAAAAGAAAGATCGGTAAAAAATGAAAATGAAGAGTTTCAATCAATGTATGCAAATGATGATTTTTTATAAAATGGTATTAATAAAATTAGTAATGATCCTGATGCTTGTAATGATAAAGATAGTGGTTAACATTAATGATAATAGTGATAATGAAAATAAATATAATGAAGAAATAAAGACAGTATTATTTTAATATGACAATAATGATCTGTTCCCGCGATATTTTTCCTTTATTTGTGGCGTTACTGTTCATGTCTGCGGATTATTTCTTGTACCAAATAACTACGATTTTTAGTCCTTTACAAGAATAGCATCTTTAGTTTATGCTACCTTAGGTCATCCATACTATAAAGATTAAGCAAACTTTTTTTTTTTAAGCATTTCTACCATTTTTCTTCCTATTAGGGATATGGATCAAGCCCTCTATTCTTTATTATCATACATTATCAAATGATCAGCCAGCTTACTATGAAAAGAAAGATCGGTAAAAAATGAAAATGAAGAGTTTCAATCAATGTATGCAAATGATGATTTTTTATAAAATGGTATTAATAAAATTAGTAATGATCCTGATGCTTGTAATGATAAAGATAGTGGTTAACATTAATGATAATAGTGATAATGAAAATAAATATAATGAAGAAAATAAAGACAGTATTATTTTAATAATGACAATAATGATCATGATAACAATGATAAGGATAATGATAAATTGATACATTTTTCATTGACGAAATAAACCATAAGTATACTTATTTTTTTATGTATTTATTGTAAATTTTATCTTGCATTTTATGTTTCTAAGTTTTAATTGATTTAGCTTCCTTATTTCTATATCCATCTTATTGATTCTCTATCCATTTTTGAAGCTTGAAAAAAAAAAATGTTGCAGAATGAGTTATGCCATAATTTTTACAAATGTCATTCTGCAATCACAGCCCAAGAGTAGTCTTTAGTACAACTTGCATATTAATTCGCAGGTGCCGGAGTATCTGCAGAATCGGGCGTCCCAACCTTTCGAGGAGCCGGAGGATTTTGGCGGACTTGGCAGGCTCAGGATCTGGCCTCTCCCCACGCGTTCCGAGCAAATCCGTCGTTGGTGTGGGAGTTCTACCATTACCGCAGGGAGGTGATGAGTACGAAAGAGCCTAACCCTGTAAGTTCTTTTTTTTCTTTCTTTCTTTTCTTTTTTCTTTTTCTTTTTCTTTTTCTTTTTCTTTTTCTTTTTCTTTTTTTCTTTTTTTCTTTTTCTTTTTCTTTTTCTTTTTCTTTTTCTCTTCTCTTCTTTTCTTTTCTTTTCTTTTCTTTTCTTTTCTTTTCTTTTCTTTTCTTTTCTTTTCTTTTCTTTTCTTTTCTTTTCTTTTCTTTTCTTTTCTTTTTCTTTTTCTTTTTCTTTTCTTTTCTTTTCTTTTCTTTTCTTTTCTTTTCTTTTCTTTTCTTTTCTTTTCTTTTCTTTTCTTTTCTTTTCTTTTCTTTTCTTTCTTCTTTTTCTTCTTCTTCATCTTCTTCTTCTTCTTCTTCTATTCTTTCACCTTTTAACTCTTTTGTGACAAGTGTTGTATTTGAAATTGAAATTCTTATAAAAAGAAAATAATTGCCACAACTTTTTCTTTTCTTCTTTTTCTTTCTTCAGAACCACCTTTGCTTGGCATTTTTAAAAACATCTTCCTTGTAAGAGACCTAAATAGCGCATAACTTTTCATTATGAAAAGTTCTTTGCTATACCTGATTATCTAATGGATTTATTAGCTACTTTTAAATCAAAGAGTTTATATATATTTATACATAGGCTTGTACACAAAGAGGTATGGGATGTATCTATGATGTGTCCACTGGTGGGAAATATTTACACAAGATTGTAGAATCAGCACAGTACAATAAATACTTTCCATTTGATAAGGGTAACTTACAGGAGCCATAAAGATTAAAAGAAGGGAGTATATAGATGGTGGTTTAAGTAGTTTGAGTTCATGTCCTTTACTGTTTAACTATGTATTAGATGAGATTAATAGCAAATGGATTAAAAAGAAATATGTTTGGTTTGTGAGTGGGTCAGACTGGTTTATAAGTAGATACTTTTGAATAATTGCTTGGATGTCTTTTTTTCATAGAATTCCCAGGAATCAGTTTTGTAATATATTTCCTTGATGCTTCATAAAAGTATGATGATAATGTGTTCTGATAGGGAAACTGGGGTGATGGCTACAGAAGGCACATCAAGTAGTAGTAGTATGTATTAAAATTATCTGCACAAAGTAAAGGGGAGACCACAAGTACCAATGAGAATCTGCACCTCTGTATTTAAGCAGTCAAGTCCAATAATACTGTGTCTTCATTTTGCATATCAGCAAAGACAAACCTCCAGCATTATGAAAAAATGGAGCTTTTAAACCTTCATGGTCATTTCCTGTCAAAAAAGGAACCAGCTCAAACTATATCTTGACAAATACACAAGTCACAAGCACAGAGCCACAGCTATGCTTCATATGCTGTTGCTCATGACAAACTGAAATAATAGTACTTAGAAATGCAAAGTATGATGTTTCTAAAGTTATAAAAACTGTTGCTCAGTTGAAGGGCAGTAGTATTATTGGGTCAATTTGTTTTTCATAGACATTAATCCAACACAGTTCTTTTGTTCATTCATACTATTTAGAAAAATCATACTTTTATAATTTTCTTTTGGGAGATATGAAAAAGTTATTGGTAATTATCTTTCTCATACTATGTTGCAGTAAGTCATCAGTTGAGAAATGTGTGTGTGTGTGTGTGTGTGTGTGTGTGTGTGTGTGTGTGTGTGTGTGTGTGTGTGTGTGTGTCCCAATGCTGATGGGCATGACGTGTACGTTCGTGCTATGCCCACTGTGAGTTACTTGTTTGATTGTTTTTATACATAGATGGCTACACTTGTCTTAAATCACCAATGAGCCAAACGAGTACTGCCTGTCTTGCCCGTTTACCCGTTTCTTTGATTACGAAAATACTTTACATTATCTTATTTTGCTGTAATTATAATATTTATAATAAAAATAACACCATCGATATTCATAGCACTAGTAAAAAATACGTTTTTCCTGCCAATTCATATCAGGTAAAGTCACAAGGTCTACTAACTGACTCCTTTGTGGCTAAGCACTAGCAGAACCATCTTTGTGCAGAGACTTTCACAAAAAATATAGAAAATAAGCACAGCATTTTCCCCATTTTTTATTCATTTTTTCCGGCAGCATTGGGATATATATGTATGTGTACATATGCATATATATATATACGCACACGCACACACAGATAGATAGATAGATATATGTATGTGTGTGAATATAATCTAACATTCATATTTTTCTCTCTTTCTCTCTTTTCTTTTCTCCAGGCACACATAGCCATTGCAGAAGCAGAAAAACGTCTTACTGCAGAAGGTCGCCGACTGGTTGTCATAACCCAGAACATAGACGAGCTCCACCGGAGAGCTGGATCCAAAGAAATCCTAGAGCTCCACGGATCGCTGTTTCGTACTCGC